TATCAGAAACATGGAGTTCAGCCCCATCCTAAATGAACAGCATCAGCGTGGACGGCACTTTTTTTTAAGATCTTCGCGCAATTCAAATGTGTGTCAAAGTCTGAGAAACATTAAATTTCTAGCTCCTAGATTCACTCTTTGCTCATTTCCTAAAATAATGCTTGGCAGATGGTCAATAATTAATGAAAGGATATTTGAGAAATTCTTGTTGGCACCTCTTTAATTGCATCTGAGGGGAAGCAAGCATTTCTGGGAAGCTAGAACACACGACAAATGGGTGGCCTAGCCAGACAGAAGCATAGTGAAAACAAGCAAATAAAATCATTCCAGGCACTGCCAAGTGGGACAGATGGGCATAGTAACTCCTTTCTCACTCCCTCCCCTCATGGTCTTCCCTCCCTGCCTCACTGGTGCTCCCCTTCATTCTTAGGAGTGCTAAGGTCTTGTGTTGACTTCTGCGTTGTATGCAAGGAAATGTCACGTGGGTTCTCTGCTTCTTAAAGCCTGCCCTGTCCTTCAGTCCAAAATGGAAGGCAAGACATAGCAGGGAAAATAGAAAAGGCTCTTTTTCATGTCCTTATTCTTACCTTTAATTTTATAATTTTTTTCTCTCTGTGTGTGTTTATGGGTATACATGTATGGTGTGCGCGGGTATGTGCACACATATATGCCGAGGTCAGAAGTCAGCATAGATCACTCTCCACCTTATTTCTCCAGCCAGGATCCCTCACTGAACTCAGAGTTCACTGATTGAACTAACTAGACTGGCTGGCCAGAGAGCTCCAGACATTGCCCCTCCCCCCACCGTCTCTGGCTCCTCAGCACTGGGGTTATATAGGCTTGCTTGCACAGCCAACATGTTATTGACTGAGCCATCTCCCCAGCCCTACGCCTTACCTTTAAATAGTTGATGTGACCTGATGTATGATTTTTTTTTTTTTGAGACATTACCAAATCCAAGGTCTGGATCTTTATTCAATATTTGTCATCTACAGCTCTGTCTACCCAAAGGACTTTTCTTGGGGCTAACAGTAGAATCTCAGAGCCCTCATTCCCAGCCTCTTCTTTCTGCTCAACCTGATAAACTGCTTGAAAATCAAAAGGGCCAGGAGTTGGCAGATAATTGTGAATTATTGGAGTTCTGTCACAACGTCATTATGGGATCTCACCATGGTAGGACTTAAGGCTTAATATAGTTAGCATCTGCCAAGGACTTATACTGTGCTTCCCAACAAGCCCAGGGGTCATAACCCCACCCCCACCTAATGAGCGAGGAAATATGAGGTTGCCCAGAGTTGAATAACTTGCCCAGGAAGCAACCAGGATAGAATTCCAGGCCACACTGCCCTGAGTTCAAGGCTTCTTAGCCACTGAGCAGACAGAGCGCCTCGTTTGGTGGAAAACTGTAGGCTCATTGTGTAAGCAGAGGCTCTTTTCCCTCTGTAGTCCTGGCACGAGGCTCCAGTGGGATTAAAGACAGCAGAGCACTTAGAAAAGGAACATTCTATAAAACACAAGGTATAATTTCGGATACCGACTTCAGATCCAGTTAAAAGGCTTTAGTTCTCTACAAATGGTAACTACACATGTGAAAACATTCATCCTTAGCATGAAATATATCCCGGTTAAGATGATGTATATTTTTTTATTATTTACCAAATTCAAGAATGTTTATACAAGTTTTACTTTTGTTACTAAGGATGCTGTTTGTTTGTGTGTGTGTGTGTGTGTGTGTGTGTGTGCGCGCGCGCGTGTGTGCTGGGAGCACAGGTTTGCCCCACCTTTTATATTTTTGTTATTCTCTCTCTCTCTCTCTCTCTCTCTCTCTCTCTCTCTCTCTCTCTCTCTCTCTCTCTCTCTCTCTCTCTCTCTCCTTCAGACAAGGTCTCCCTTAGGTGAATCCAATTTGAAGCACACACTTACTGCTTGGCTCCTGAGTGTTGGGAATGTGGGCAGGAGCCACCACATCCAGCTCCGTCACATTTTAAAAATCAAACAAACAAACTGGGTGCTGGGGAGATGACTGAGTGATTAAAGCACTAGTGAACACCGGGTTGGCTTGGGGGCCCACCCTTAGTGCCAGCGATTGGAAGGTGGAGACAGTGGATCCCCAGAGCTAGCTGGTTAGCTAGAATAACTGCTTCCTAGGCTCTGGGTTCAACTGAGAGACCCGCCTCCGTGAAAAAGATGGAGAACATCAATGAAGACTCCCAACATCAACCTCAGGCCGCCACATGCATGTGCACCTGCATCCCACGCCTGTGTGTTCACACACACGGGAACACTCACATATACATGAGGGAGAAAGAGCACAATGACAGTATGTTTCAAGACTTTTTGTTTTGTTTTTGTTTTTCAAGACAGGGTTTCTCTGTAGCTTTGGAGCCTGTCCTGGAACTAGCTCTTGTAGACCAGCTGGCTTTGAACTCACAGAGATCCGCCTGCCTCTGCCTCCTGAGTGCTGGGATTGAAGGCGTGTGCCACCACCGCCCGGCCAAGACTTTCTTGATCTGGGTATTAAACTCAGTGGTAGAAAGTTTGCCTGGCACAAATGAGGCCCTGGATTTGACTCAAAGCCCTTTAAAATTAACGTAATTTTAGAGATAGGAAAATAAGTAATAACAGAAGAATAAATATGAGTAAGTGTAAAGAGCGATGCAAGAGACTCTGGAACAGCATTGCTGGGTTCAGAAACCAGATTTCTGACTGAGCTGAGCCTGGTGGCACACGCCTTCAATCCCAGCACTCAGATCTCTGTGAGTTAAAGGTCAGCCTTGTCCACAAAGTGAGTTCCAGGATAGCCAAGGCTGTTACACAGAGAAATCCTGTCTCAAAAAAACCACACACACACACACACACACACACAGAGAGAGAGAGAGAGAGAGAGAGAGAGAGAGAGAGAGAGAGAGAGAAACAACAACAGTAAAAGGCAAACAAAAAACAGATTTGCTACTTACTAGGAGTAGAATTTCCACAAGTCTTTGTGGCATGGTGTTCAAAATTAGTGTAGCAGCATTTATTTCACTAGACTATTAAGAAGGTAAAATGACTTATCTATAAAGTGCTTAACCCAGTATCTGGCATAGTGTACAGTAAAATGCTCTCTGGCTACAAAGCAATTGCTTCCACACCCTATGGTACAGACATACAATAAATAAGCCATTATATATAAGGCATAGGGGTCCAGTTTAGTGGTCGAGCACTTGTTAGCATGCATGACGCCCCAGGTTCAATCTTCAGAACTACAATGGGGAAGCAGTAAAAGAATATACAATCACACAAAACAAGAAGTTTTTTTTTTAAGGTAATGAACTCTAAACATTGTCCCATAGCACTTATATTTGTTAAAGCACTAGTGAACACCGGGTTGGCTTGGGGGCCCACCCTTAGTGCCAGCGATTGGAAGGTGGAGACAGTGGATCCCTAGAGCTAGCTGGTTAGCCAGAATAACTGCTTCCTAGGCTCTGGTGACAATGTAAGCTGGGAGTAGGGGGTGTTGACAGTTTTCTGTGCTGCAGAGCGGCAGGTCAGTCTGGTACCTATCACTGCCGGTCTTGCATACACCCAGCACTTCCCACATGCTTGTGAGTGATGTTGATACTGCTGGTCCAAGGCCTGACCTTTGGAATAGGACGCCTTCACAGCAGTGTCTCTGAGCCAGTCTTGGAGCTTCGAAAGCACTGGGTTACTGGATCTAAGTCTGAGTTTCTGTTTTAAAGGGCCTGGATTCTGACCTTAGAATTTGAATATAGTAGTGTCCCAGGAGATGCTGATGCTGCACACAATCACAGTAGAGCATCTTTTCTCTCTTAGCATCATAAATGACATGAGACCCTAAAAACGAATCTATATTCTTCACTGCCTATAAATCAAATCCAAGCTCCATCCAGAAACTCCTGGAATTCCTCATTCCCACTGCCACAACGTCAAGTCATTATGCCCTGAATACACCTGAGATATCAAACATCACAGTTCTACGAACATTCCTAGCCTTGGCTTATATGTAGCTTCCTCCTGCCCACCCGTTCAGGGTCCTCAAATGCTGTTATCCCCATAAGGCTCACAGCGCTCCGCAGCAGTTTCTGTTACTCCCCCAGTGACACTTTCCAACCTCTGCCTGGTCCAGTGATTGCTAATGGGGACTGTGTCAACCAGCAGGAAACTGGGCACTTCTGAGGTGCAGAGGGGGCAGGAGTAACTTGTGCCCGTTTTCATCTGCCTGCGGGCCTCATCCCATCTCCAGCACACAGTGGACACTCACGACTGAGAGAAAGAATGTAGGGGAGGATCCTCCCCAGGAAGGGCGCGGAACTGTCTAGTAATGGAAACTGGAACCCTGTGCCCGCCAAGCCTGATGACCCACAGTAACAGGTGTTTCCATCTCCGATTCTGTGATTCATTCTGCATAGCTGCGAACGCACATAAGCGTAAGCACACACAGGCTCCTGGAATAAAACGCCGGGCACGCAAACGTGCACCCAGTGTCCTAGGCGCCCGGGAGACACACCTCAGCGACAACCTGGATCCACAAAGGGGAGGCCCTGCCTCCTAAAATAGTAATGTCTTACCGCAAACAAAACAAGCAATGGCTCCCGTCTTTTTTACCCCATTGCTCCCCGTTGCACCTTTCTTTTTAGTTCTAAAGAAAGCTGTTGGGGTGACCCCTCCTCCCGTCCTCCCATACACACGCACCCCTCCCCCACTGCCTCTTTCGGCCACGGCGAGTCTCAGAAGGTTGGATGAATGAGAACTAGGGGAACCTTTTTGCCGTTAATCCTCCCCTCCGTTGAGCAAGCCCAGCTTCTTCCGGGTCAGCGACAATCACCACCACCACCCTGTTCGGGCCTCGCTGTCCCCTGCACCACGGCCAGGCTAGCACAGGGTCCAGTAACCAGCGGCGGCTGGTTGCGGGAGCAGAAAAGGGCGGGGACGAGGGCGGGCGCCACCGAAGCGGGGGAGGGAACTGGGAGGGGAGCGCTCGCAGGAGGAGGGAGCTGCCTCCGGCGGCTGGCGACGAGGATGGGAGTGCGGGGCAAGCGCGCGGCGCCCTGGGTCACGGCCGCGGCGGAGTCTGCCGGGCGCTAAGCCAGCGCCCGGCGCTTTTAAAGCCGGGATCCCGGCGAGCTCCAGGCGCGGGCGGCGGCCGGATGGAGAGGAAGGCGGCCCGAGCCTCGGGGAACCCTAACCCGCCCGCGCTGGGCGAGGGGCCGCGGTCCGTGCCACCGTCGTGCGTCCCGGGCGGCGGAGGGGCCCCGGAGCGAGGCCAGGCTGGGGCGGCGGCCGAGCCCGCCGAGCTCATCCGGCGGGCGCATGAGTTCAAGAGCCAAGGGGCGCAGTGCTACAAGGACAAGAAATTCCGCGAAGCCATCGGCAAATACCACCGGGCGTTGCTGGAGCTGAAGGGGCTGCTGCCACCTCCAGGGGAGCGGGAACGGGACGCGCGGCCAGCTTCCCCGGCCGGAGTCCCCAAACCCAGCCATCTCTCGGAGGAACAGAGCAAGACGATTGAAGCCATCGAGGTCGACTGCTACAACAGCCTGGCAGGTGAGCCGCGCCCCGCCGCGCCCCCTGCCCCCCTCCCCCCCTCCAGGGGCCCCGCCCGGCCTCGCGTCTGTCCCCTGCTCTGCCGACCAAGTCCCTCTGGGTCCCAGAGCGCCAGTGAGGTACACCGCGGCGCTGACTCCCTCCTGTGACAGTGGTGCTCCAGGGAGGAGACCTGGGAGGGAGGCGCTTGAGAAAAAGTGTGACTTTCAAGATGATGCCTTCCAAAGGCCATAGTCATCTCGAGTCTCTTCCCTTACATACATGGTAAATCTTACCTTTAAATGGCTGGACAGACAGAGGGCGACCCAGCGGAGTCTGGCAGCGACAGCTACTGCTCACCAGTGAACCTGGGTTCAAAATATAGAGGCAGCGCCCAGGTGTGTCCCACAGGCCATGGGTTCTATGGACAGTCAATGCACCTGTCTGCCCCACTAAGGTATCACCCGCTCCAAAGTTGATCTATGCCTTCCCTTCTGTATGCATCCGGTGGGAATCGGCCTTTCCCCAAGTTCTCTTGCCCTAGTAGCAAAGGGGATTTTTTTCAGGATGTCCTTAACAGCCTGAGCAAAATGGATTCCAAAAATGCTACTTTCTTCTCTCCGGGTCTTGCTGGTTGCTCCAGGTTGCCAATTCGTGGTAGGTAGGTTTCTAGCCCTGCTGAATTCTTGCTCTTCTTCATGAAGTTTATCTGTTGGGCTAAAGGTGTACATTTTACAATGTACTTTAGGGGTGAGGCATATATATATATATATATACACATACATACATACATGTGTATATATATATGGTATAAAATCTTTACAGTCTGTTAAAAAGGAGAACTCTGGGTCTTTCAAAGGACTTTCTGTGAAATATGGGAAACGAAGGCATGAGCAACTTGCCTTACAGTGACAAAACCACTCTTCTCTTGTCCAACCCTGTGTGCTGGGATTTGGCATAGTCAAACTTCCCTGGTAGAATAGAAGGACATTCGTTTCTAACCTTAGAAGTTGCCTGAACTAACTATGGACCTGTTCCAGCAAGGAGGAGGGGGATGACCAGTGGATGTGTCTGGAGGCTGGAAATGCCCCAACTAGGCTCTATTCAGAAGTGTAGACCTACTGTGTTCCCTTTGAGCACCAGCCTCCCTCTGCCTTTACATTACTCCACGTTTGAGGTCATCTTTAGGCAAGCGCGCTCTGCTGTGCTACCATGGCCCTACAAGGGATCATCTTTACTAGGGAGAAACTGAGCCTGGGGAGACACTTTATACGTTGTGAAGTAGCTTCCAAAGGTAAAGAATCAATACCAAGTCACAGAAATGGTGATATTGGTCCCAGTGTTACAAATAATGGCGCCAGAGAAGATCGTGGTGCTGAAAGATGGAATTCTGTGAGTCCGAAAAAGGACACTTGATTCCTCTGTTTCCTGTAAGCGGCTGGCATACTGGCTGCTGCCCTGCTGACTAAAGGGCAGAGCGGCTGGGAGCGGAGGCACTCTGGATGGCTAATGCAGTGATTTTGGGGTGCTAATGGAGCCTGCCTCCAGTATTAGCCATAGGTGTTCCAGAACCACATTCACCCCACGCTTCTGGCTACCAGCCAGTAAGTAGCACTGCCTGCCCTCCACCCCACAAATGGCTACATTTCCCTGGTGAAACTCAAGATGTGTCCTTGGTCAGGCCAGCCCAGTCAGGGCAGGGCTGAGGTCTGGTCAGCCCTTCTATCCCCACCACTCAAACACTTTGGAAAATTTCCCTGGTGACAGAATGGAAAGAGATCCTAGCAGGCTTTCCCCCAGCTGCCTTCTCTGAGACCCATCCCTTATTAATATTAATAACTTAGTATGTGTACTACTAAGAACCTACATGCACTTTTTGAGACAGGGTTCACTATGTAGCCCTGGCTGGCCTGGAACTGTACATGTAGATCAGGCTGGCCTTGAATTCAGAGGTCCCCTTGTCTCAGAGTGCTGAGATTAATGGCATACAGCACCACACACACACACACACACACACACACACTACTGAAAGAAATATAGCCATTTGTCTTACAGGAGGGTATCCCGAGGCTCCAGAGCCTTCCATCTCCAAAAACAATGCCTTTGCCATCACAACTTGATGCAGAAAGCCAGCATCTTCCAGACCCCTCCTGTTACCTGGTACCCAGACTCTGGGGGACTCTCAAAGCCTACATTTCAAAATTCTTTGGGGGAGCCCTCAGTCCTGGTCATCAGGAAAGACGAACATACGGGACCTTGATTCAAGGCTCCGCGAGTACCACCCGATGTCTTCAGATCTCGCATAACCGTGTGAGTGATGACAAGATGCACAGTTTTGTCAGGGTCTACACCGTGTGTGGAACATTCATCACCTGGCAGGGAGGCTCGGCACAGGAATCACTTTGACGAGAAGCCTGACATTGTTCTCTTTGCATTGTCACATGAAATCACATCAAAGCCCAGTCTCTCAGAAGTCCCAGCTAGCAGCACATAGTCCTTTCTCGTGGGGTTATCAAAGTAGTAGATACCTATATAGATATTTTCTTCTAGAAAAGAGCAAAACCTTGAAAGAACTGCAGAATGACCTCTAAATCCACCTCCTGAAGAAATCTGTGTTTAGTTGGGTGGTGGTGGCGCACGCACATCTTTAATCCCAGCGCTTGGGAGGTAGAGGCAGGCGGATCTCTGAGTTTGAGGCCAGCCTGGTCTATAGAGTGAGTTCTAGGACAGCCAGACTACACAGAGATATAGTGCTTCAAAAAAAAAAAAAAAAAAAAAAAAAACAAAAAAAAGAAATCCATGTTGAATGTGTGCCTCTGTGTGTGTGTGTGTGTGTGTGTGTGTTTACAAAGCAAGGCTCCTTGCCCTTCTGTGTATACAGTAACATATTCTGCTCTTAACCCCACTTACCATTGTGTCAGAAGCATTTTTACGCTTCATTAAAAATATTTTCATGAAGATTATTTTAAACATAAAATAAAAGACTTAAGTGCATATTCTCAGTTATCTTTGGATAGAAAGGAAAGAAGAAAGACTCGTATTGTTTTGCTAGGGCTAGCACAGTGCAGGCTGTCCCGTGAGGTAGCTTTTACCCTGAGCCCTGGCTAACAAGAAAGAGGGAGCCAAGAGCAGGTTCATTCTGGCAGAGAAGCAGCTGACCCTTCCTTCCATCGGGGATTTGGTGGCCCCTGGACAACCTGATGATGTGGTTCTTAAGGCCCTGTCCTTCACATAGAGCCATATGTAGAGATAGAGGCGTGGCATTGGGAAGGAACTTAGAATAGCCCAGAAACACCTAGAGAATTAGAATGTGTTGCTAAGGGCTGCTTTCTCCAAACAAGCGGCTATGGTGAGGCATCTGGAGAAAACTTACACAAACCTTCATGCTCTGTCTACAGAACCCTCAAGAATAGCAAGGGAGATGCTAGGATGCAGTGAGAGGTGTTAGTCTAACTCCCATTTGAATGTCCCTGGAAGCCCAAGAAGGCTGTGCAAACTCTGCAAATGGCCCCAGGTTATTGTCTGTTCTGACTCAGATTTCATTTTGGATGGGAGGACACTGGCTAGCTGTGCAAGGCTAGGGTTTTGCATGCCTTGTTCTCTGGGAAATTCAAGGGAATGGCATTTTATTCAATAGAAAAGCTAATCTAACCTGCCCAGGAAGACTGAGGAATCTGAGCATTCCTGAGGCCACAGAGCAAGCTTGCATTTGTCATTGACCCTGAGCAAGACACATGATTCTCCTGGGGCCTTAGAACCTTGTGAAGGATAGAATTTTTCCTCTTAGGGCTCTGGAGGCTGCATCTGGGGTATGGCGACAGAGGTGCACCACACATTGCTTTATTGATATTTTCAAGACCCACGATTTAAATGGCAACAGTGGGGATAGGTGCCACTGGATCCCAACAAAAGCTGGAAATCTGTGCCCTGATATTCCTCATGGCCTGCAATAAACACTTACCATTTTGTTCTATTGCCATTTCTCTACCTATGTAGAGCCATGTTGGGGAGATTTGTTTTCTCTTCCCAAAGGGTAGACAGTATCATATCAGTCTCAACTTTAGACCACAATATAAAAGGAACAAGTTCATACCAATAGAAATCCTGGAATAGTGTCCTCTGAAACCACCTTTATTGGCTCTGGTAGACATGTCTCAAAGTCATGGGGTCAGGGCTGGGCACACAATATTCAGAACTGTTCTAGTTGTTTGTCAACTTGACACACACAGGCCAGGATCATTTTCAAAGAGGGGACTTCAACTGACCAAATGCCCCATCAGGTCTGTGAGGTGTTTTCTTGATTATGATTGATGTGGAACAGCCAAGCCCAGTGTGGGCTGGCGGTCCTGGGTTATATAAGAAAGCAGGGTGAGCAAATTATAAAGAGCAAGCCATTAAGTAGCCCCCCTCCATGTCCTCTACCTTAGCTCCTGCCTCCAGGTTTCTGCTTGAGCTCCTGCCCTAGCAACCTTCCTACACAATGACCTGAGGTTGGGATGAGTAAGCCCAAATGAACCCTTTCCTCCCCAAGTGGCTTCTGGTCACAGTGTTCTATCAGTGCCTTAGGAACCTAACTATGTCAAGAGCACAACAGGAAAATATGGAACTTGAGCCGGGCAGTGGTGGCACATGTCTGCAATCCCCGTACCTAAGAGGCAGAGTCAGGCCAGTCTCTGAGTTTGAGGCCAGCCTGGTCTACAGTTTAAGTTCCAGGACGGTCAGGGCTACAGAGAGAAACCCTGTCTCTAAAAACAAACACAAGAATAAAAAAAAAATAAAAACAAAAGAATATAGAACTTGTTCAAGAAGCAGGGAAATCATATCCCTAATGATCCTAAAATATAAAAATTTTACCTGGGACATGACTGCAACCAAGTACTTGGAAGGTTAAGGGAAGAGGGTCATGAGTTCAAAGCTAGCTCTCCTCATCTAACCTGGTCTATATAGTGAGTTTAGGGCTAGCCAGCCTTGTATAGATAGGCATTCAAAATTAGTCAGTCTAGTCTATACAGTGAGTTCAT